TTGGAAACTGAAGTTACGGTCGTTTCAACATTCACTCGATTATTTCAACTTCCAGCCTCGTCTCGTTTACGTACGATCATACGCCGTGAGAAACCAGATACTAAAATTCCATTCAACGTTCAACAAGCTTCCATGTTTTCCCGGGCTCAAAGTAAAACCAGAATTCTACCGACCGGGGAACGCCACAAGTTTCTCTTCAAGTTGCTTTATTTCTCAGTAATGCATGCTCTGATCAAAGTGACCCAACAGCCATTTCGCGAGTATGTTCCGCATAAACCATTAATTCTAACCACCTTGTACAACTGTTACGTTCTCCCCCCCCCCTCCACCCCTTCGATTCCTCCGTAGCAAAAAGCATGTAAAATCACTCAAGAGTGATCAATCCGTTCTTGATATCGACGGATCTTAATGTCGAAACGAGCAAATGGATATTCATCGTATCTCGAGATTCGTACGAATTTTACGATTTTACGAGAATTTTTCGTCATCGAGAAATGCGATGCGATCGACCGTGTGAAAACATCGCCAAATCGTGCGAAAATCGCTCGCGAAGATTTTGCGAAGTTCAAAGGTGAACTTTCTTAGTGTTCAAAGTCGAGCGTGCGACTTGAAAGTCCGAATTTGATGTGATCTAGAAGCTTCGTTTGGAAAATCTGCGAATAATCGCTAATAATAAAATAATTGAAAATTAGAGAAAAATTTAGAATTACAGTGAAGAAGAGAAATTAGAATGAAATAGATTCGAATACTCGTTAGTGCCGTCGTGGATGAAACTTTTCAATTCTATACGCGTTCTTCAAAACTTGTACATTGTATCGGTGCGGAATGTACATTGTATTAGTCTCAGAAATTTTTTTCGTTTTATTAATGAATAATGTATGCACATTTTATATTTTACGTTCATATCACTGAATCATAATCCATTCTGATCTATTACCTTTCTCTGTTTCTCCGAAAGACTTATAATTTCCAACGATTTTAGAATTTGTTGGCGAAATATCGTTGAAAATACATCTTTATATTATGTATCGAACCACGGAGGTGTTTTTTTTTTTAACGAATTAATTTTTTGACGAATGTACCTCGAACAATTAGTTTAGCAAACCTCAGAAATTTAGAAGGATGATGTTATTGAGCTTCCTTCCAAAGAATGAATCAGAGTGGATCGTGCAATAACATGATGTAATACATAAAATATTGTGCATTATTGTACATTATTCATTAATAAACTTTTTGAATAATAGAAACTTGTGAGACAACCCGATGCAAACGTCTGCTTAGTTTGCTTAGAACGTAGTGAATCACGTAACGAGCTCTATCGTCTGGAGAACTTCTCGACGAAACTCACGTAAGAAGAAGCTTCGTAAAGAAACGTTCGATCCTCCGTGAGAATTATTATATCGAACAAATTTAACCCCGTGCGAACAGTAGCGTGTGCTCGTTCACGCTGAGTATCTTACGTTTACGACGTTCTCGTTGACTGGTTCCTCGCGCGAACAATCCGAATTCCATCCGAGTTCGCAACGATTCGCGGCCTTTTATTGATCGTTGAATCGACGACGTCGCGGCTGTTCGACCGAGCGATTTGTCAGTAAAAGACACGAAGGGATTGCTAGTCGAGCCACTGATAAAGATCCACGAATGTTGGAAACATTCTATTTCCATTTGCGCGCAGGAATGCCTGAAATCCGTCGATCGACGCATGCTCGTAAAATCCGCGCGAATCCCGCGCACTTTCAATCGTCGATGCAAGCGTCGTTCATTTACGACGGATCCTGTTTGGCGTTCGATTCATCGCTCGTGTATCCTATCGTGTATCGACTAAATTATGGTTATTAGAAAAAGTCGTAACAGTTTCGTTCGACACGATAGAATTTATGGTGTAGGATAACGTACACGCTGTTTCACACACAGCTATTCCATTTATAAATTTATAATATATTATATACTATACTATATTATAAATTATGTTATATTATGCCATATTATATGTATTAAATATGTTATATTATATTGCGCTATATTATATTTATATAGTACGTTATAAATATTTTATATAAAACACTTTGAAATTTCATCGTTATTGCAATATGTGAGACGCAGTTGTAATAACAAATTTTAAAGAATCGTTGCAAAGGGGAGGTTTCAATCTTCAAGATGGTCATGAATTTGAGTATGAAGAAAATTTTTTTCAATAAAAATTTGAATCGTTTGAATTTGCAAGATTTTTTTTTTTAAAGAAATATCTCTGTTTACTTCCTTAAAACGAGAAGTTCTTTAGAAGAAATATCTTTATTTACTTCCTTAGTACTTAGAAGTATCTTTATTTACTTCCTTAGGATGTATTTTGAAACTAGAAGTAGAAAATGAAAAGACAGAGCAAAAACGAGATTTTTCTGTAAGATGTTTCGTTTTCGAGAGGATCGAGTTTGAAAAGTTGTTAAGTGTACGTGTGTAAAGTTTAATTTTTAACGAGTCTATTTTCTTGAAAATGAGCTCTCTCAAATGGAAAAATATTATTTCACACTTTCGACTCATTTTTTCATGCACAATAATTCTCCTGTTAATTATTCATTTCTGTCCAGCTGCGAATCAGCTAAATAATAATTCAAGTATGCTTGATAAATTCACAATTTTCTCGAATACGAAGCTTTAGATGAAAAAATTCTATTCTCTCTCAGAAAGGTTATTTCGGATTGGAAACTCTATGTATATTACGATTAGAGTCACGAGAATCATATTGAATTTGGTCCTAATATTCGACTGTAGTCGCGATATTCATCCTTCTACAAAAAAAATCAGCACATTATCTCTGGCATCCCCGGCACTCGAGATGATCATTAAATTCACAGTCGCGAAATGACATTTAAACAAAACGGTTTTCCTTTCACCAGGAAAACACGATTGCCTTGGAAAGGAAAGTTTAATGCGCAAAGGGTTAATTCGCTCGTTAGCATCGCGTGCTTTTTCTCCGCGTGCTATCTCTTTAATTGCCCTGTGGCCTCTTCGGTTCCTTTTTCGGAAAATTGTGACATTCTCAACAACGATGAGACCCTCGTCGTTTCTCCGTTTCTTATTTCCAATTTGTTTCCTCTTTGCACCTTCCTCGCGTGGTAAATGCATCCTACGTGGCTTCTTAATATCAGCTAACTACTCGCCACAACTCACGTGTCTCGCTGCCTTTCGTCGTTAATTACTTACTTTTGTATTAATTCTTAGATCGTAGCTGCGGAAAGCGTGGCTTGGCGATAGTTTGTTGCTGTTCTCCTTGGTTTCCAGACGTAATATGTTAATTTGATTGTATTAATTAATCATAGTGGTAGAGAATTTATTAGACAACTTTGGGTAGCTTGAGAATAATTTGTACTGATGCATTTATGTGGGAAAATACGATGCTACATTATACAGACTGTACATAAAAATATGCAAAATATTTATTTAATAAAATAATGTAGTTTTTATGAAAACTCTGAATTTTCGTGAATATTTCACGATCTATTTAATATTAAAAAAATTTATTTGTTTCTATTACATCTAATTTCATTTGAGGAATATTGATATCCTTATCTTTATTGATATTATATAAAATTACGGTGCA